CTGGCTTTGGTATCAAGGTTATGCTTGCTTGAAATAAAATGAGTTAGGGAGGATTCCATCCTTTTCTATGTTTTGGAATAGTTTGAGTAGCATTGGTATCAGTTCTTCTCTGAATGTTTTGTAGAATTCTCTAGTGAAACTGTCTTGGTCAGGACCTTGAGACCACAAGTTCTATATGGTGTCTGGCTACCACTGTTAACCACTCATAGAGGAATCAGTGCAGAAGATCCTGGATAGAGTGGGACAACAAAACAATCATTTTTTTAAAAAAAATGACCAGGTTTACTATTCTGATAGAGCCTGGTGAGACCCCTGAGACTGTGGCTCCCAATTACCCTTTTTCAGGTCTAGAACTGAACTCGTGTGGCTTCCAACCAAAAAATAGACAAGCATATGGGGTGAACATTTACCTCAGGTGGATAAACTTCTTGGAGCAATCTGTCGTGGGAGAATAGAAGGGTAGTTTTAGCACAAGGAGATGGATAGCTTGGGTAGGAGTGAGTGCATGGGAGGGAGGGACACACAGAAGAGGTGACTGTGAGGAGGAAGTGGGATGAAAGCTGTTATATTGTGGGGAATTGCAGTCAATGTCATGAAATAAAATGTGTGAACTGTTGTATGGTAAATAAATTTGCTTTGTAAACTTTCACCCAAATCATAATAAAAATTAAAAAGAGCTTGGCTGCTAACTGAAAGAAAAGTCAGCAGTTCAACCCACGAGCTACTCTAGGTGAGAAAATTATAATAGTCTGGTCCCGTATGTACATTTACAGCCTTGAAAACCCTATGGGGCAGCTCTTCTCCATTCTATAAGGTTGCTGTGAGTCGAAATTGACCTTCCAGCAGTGGGGTCTGGTGGTCTTGGGTTGGGTTGGGTAGGGTAGGGTATGTGTTTCTAGCAATTTGCCCTCCTTTGGTCTTTTTTATTTTGTTGGATTGGTTGTGATGTTTTCAGTTTTATTTCACCTATTAGTTGTTTATATCTCCTCTCTTTTTTTCTTTGCTTGTTTAGCTAAAGGTTTGTCAGTTCAAAGAACTGACTTTTGGTTTTGTTAGTTTTTTCTCATATTTTCATATTTTCTTTATCATTATTAGAGTTTTTGTAGCTATTAAAATTACAGATGTTATTAACAGTGTTTTCGTATATTTTGAAGTAGCATATACAGACATTACTGCTAGTTGTTATTTATGTATTACCAACGAAACACATAAATTAGTATATCTCTTGTTTTGTGTTTTAGTAACATTTTGGTAACTATATTTTAGTATATTTGATTGTCCTTTTTTGTATTAAGTTTATGTAATTATAAATCTTAGTCTGAGTGAGGTCCATGGATGTCAAGAAAGTACAAACACAGAATTGGTTAAAAATTTGCCATGGGGCCATGGGCAAAGCATTATATACATAAACAAATCTTTCCCTATGGTTTTTAGTTTTTTCTTTTGTTTTGGCAGCAAAGCAAAACTATTCTCCTGAAACTGTAGAAAAGAGATGTTAATAACCTCAAAAGAGGGAAAGAACTAATCTTGTAGAAACATTTGTATGTGTATTCCATGTCGGACACATCTAAGTAATTTATTAGCTACTTTAATCCTTAAAAATATTGTGGTTATATTTATGAGTTGTCCTTTAGTGAAGGGACGAGAATGTGTAAGTGTATATTTACACATATATGACTTTTGTTGCTTTATATCTGACCTCATTCTCCTAATACAATTTTGCCAATAGAAGCTCATCTTTATTATCTGGAAACCACCACACACACGTACACCCCCCAGACCTCCCCTCCACTACATACACACACTACCCCTGTGGGTTTCAGGAATATTGGATAAGGGATACTCATGTAGTAAAGTCTTCTGGATTACTAATTAAATGACTAAGCTCTTGGCCAGTATATACATAAGTTGGTTAGAACTGAACAGAAATGGTTTCAACTGAGTTCTTACATGCAGTCTTGTGGTTCTGAGTGCCAGACTTTTTCATTCCCACAGGAGGCAGCCTTCTGTGTTGTGATTCTTGCCCTGCTGCTTTTCATCGTGAATGCCTAAACATTGATATTCCTGAAGGAAACTGGTATTGCAATGACTGTAAGGCAGGCAAAAAGCCACACTACAGAGAGATTGTCTGGGTAAAAGTTGGGCGATACAGGTGAGTAACTACGATGGAGAATGACGCTCACTCTATTTACCATCCTATTCCTTGGAATAAGGAGTCTTGGTGGTTCAGTGGTTAAGACATAATAAGCACTTTCAGTTAAGTGATTAACTGAAAGATCAGCAGTTTGAACTCACCAGCCGCTTCATGGGAGAAAGATGCGGCAGTCTGCTTCCATAAAAGTTTATCGCCTTAGAAACCCTATGGGGTAGTTCTACCCTGTCCTATAGGGTTGTTACGATTTGGAATCAACTTAGTGGCAGTGGGTTTGAGTTTTGATTTCTTGGTCTCACTTAAATACAGTGGTTAGTTTTTTTTGTTTTTTTTTTAATGCTCTCCTTAAGTAGGCAAGATTATCTTCTGTGTATCACCCCTCCCCTTCCTATTTTTTCTTATGAAAGAAAAAATTAACTTCTTAGTTTATGAGTATGGAACTAATACATATTCAACGTATAAAATCCATTAAAGAAAACAAATTATCCAAAATCTCATAAGATAAAACAATAAAATAAAGTACATTCTTAACATTTTGGTATTTGTGTTTGCAGATAGACACATGCCAAATACACAAGTATCCAAAAGAATTAGCCTCATGTTTATATACCCAGTATCTTGACTTTTCTTCTAAAATTTTTTTCTTTGAATGTAGAGTACACAAAAGAATATTTTTATAGCATACATAATTTTAAAGAATAACTAAAAGAATGACTGTGTATGAACTGCCCAGTTAAAGAAGTAGTTTATCAGTGGTAAGCAGCTTTGGTGGCGTAGTGTCTAAGTCATTTGACTGATAACCTGAAGGTTAGTGGTTCAGAGTTCACTAGCCACTCCGTGTAAGGAAGAAAACTTATGGAAACTCAATGGGGGTTGCTATGAGTTGGAATTGACTCAGTGGCAGTAAGTTTGGTTTTTTGGTTTTTGGTATCACTGGTATTCCCTCCATGCCCATCTCATTCCGTTCTTTCCCCACCCCTGAGGCGTAAATAAACCAAAACCAAAAAACACCAAACTCACTGCTGTCGAGTCAGACCCAACTCATAGCGTCCCTTCAGAGGCAGTATCACTATGAAAGTAGATTGCCCCATCTTCTTCCGAGGAGTGGCTTGTGGGTGTGAACCGTCAGCCTTCTGGTTAGAAGTCAAGTGCCTTAGGTACTATGCTACCAAAGCTCCTTTGGGGTAAATGTGTACTAAATTTCACTTTTATCATTTCTTTGCCTTGCTGTGTAGGTTTATGACATACATCATCCTGATACATACAATACATGTATCCTGTTTCTTGCTGTGTAGGCTTATTTGTTCTGTATGTTTTACAACTTCATATAAAGAAATAATATAATAGCAGATTTATTCATTTATTAAACTAATTCAACATCATGTCCCTGAGAGTCATTGTAGTTAGTGCAGTGGGTACAGGTTATTCATGATTCATTGTTCCATAGTATTTATTTAGTCACTCAGGGTTGTATTTATCCTTTCTCCTGTTTGGGCTGTGAGCATTTTGTAAATGTTTTTCAGTATACATGCAAAGGAGCTTCTCTAGAGTATACTCTGAAGTAAATAGCTGGGTTGCAGTTTGTAGTTTTAATAACTAAAACCAAATTGTCTTCTAAAGTTGTTATACTAAGATGCTTTTTCTTTTGATGTTTCTTCTTGTCATTTTTCATGCTCCTAATAGTTGCTGAAAGTTTTGTTTTTTTAAAGGCCAAATTGTATTTATACCAAATTGTATCATGTATTGTGTAGTTAATCATAGTCATTTCTAGGCTTTTAGATTGTTGCCAGTTTTTCATTATTATACATAATGCCTCAGTGAATATTCTAGTAATAAATCTTGGGTCATATCTCTTACTTGTTTTCTTTTAATAGATTCTCTGAGATAGAATAACTTTGTCAGAGGAAATGTATACATCTATATTTAGTGTTTTTAGGCTTTCAGCACTTTCTACTTGTTTGTTCTCTACTTAGATTGTAAAAATGCCCTAGTTTGAACTTTACTATTGACAGACATTGTTATTTCTTACTCTTTTTCTATGTATGTTATTTTCCTAGTATCTTTCAGCCTTCTAGAGGTTTTCTCCCTTGTTTTCACCTTTTTAGGTGGTGGCCAGCTGAGATCTGCCATCCTCGCGCTATACCTTCCAACATCGATAAAATGAGACATGATGTGGGCGAATTCCCTGTACTCTTCTTTGGGTCTAATGACTATCTGTGGACCCACCAGGCTAGAGTCTTCCCCTACATGGAAGGGGATGTTAGCAGCAAGGATAAGATGGGCAAAGGAGTGGATGGGACATATAAAAAAGGTAATGTTCTTTTTTTTTTTTTTTTTTTTTTGAGACCCATAGATCTCATGCCTAAATTTCTGCTCTGTGTTAGAATTTACATTTACTTAATTTATCAGCTCGATTCTATCCTCTGGGGGCATTATATAGATGTTGTTACACAGTTTTATAAGGAAATTGACCAACAGAAGGCATTATTTTTTAACTCCACCTTTTCTAAACTGGAATTTCCTTGAGGAAGGAGGGGTTTTATCAGTTCTCTTTTCTCATTGTTTTGTCCTGTACTGGAGTTCTGGAGCTATGTAATAGTCAACACTTCACTTTAGTGGCAAGGGCTACAGTCTCAAGTAGCCCTAAGGAGTTTTTTATTACGTTGTTGGAAGGAAATAAAATTTACCAAAAATTACAGAGTAAAATGTTGGTGGTAGAGGTCAAAGCATATTGTGTTGAGTCAAAAGAGATTTTTATAAACTGGTCTAGCAGTGAAGTAATTGGGGACTGTGGGGGCTAGGGGCTTTTGTTATAATTAACATAACTAATTTTACCACTTGCCAGTTGGTTGAATCAGTTATAAGCTTCAGTTTTACTGTATGATAGGGAAAGGTTGGTCTGAGAATTCAGTGAGGTAATAAAAGTGAACGTGCAGAGCAAATAGTTGGTATCCTTTCGATGGTAATTACCTTTTTTATTTAGCTATCCTTTGAAAGGTGATACTGGTCTCTCTCGATATTTGAATATATTTGGGTGTTGAGGGGTACTTGTATAAGACTTTGTCTGCAGAGTGAGGTTAAAAAGATTCTAAACAACATCCTTGATGGGGAATGGGAGAGCTTAATAGAACAAGTTTAATAGACGTTCCAGTTGGCTCATGTTATTTCAGTGAGTGCTCGTTTATTTGTAGGCCCTGTGGTTTCTGTACATCAGACCAGGGCTGTCAGCACTGGTGTTTACTAGAGGATTTGGGGTTTTAGGTCTTATAGTTTCAGATGGTCAGGGACTGAGTGACCAACATCCTGATTTCAATAGAGCTGTCTACCACCAAAGCTAGGGAGAAGGTGAGTATAGGAAATACCAAAAATCTCAGCCTGCTGAAGCTCTGGGTTTCCCTGTTCTTATGCCTAATCTTGTGCTGGCTTGTTACTTCCCCGTCAAGAAACCAATGTTTTTTATGGGGAAATCTGACCTAGATACCAGTAGTCAACAGCATTCAGTGAATGTTACTGTAGAAATGGACATGGTATGCTTTTGGAACAAACCAAGAGGGAATATAACTTGGCTGGGAGTTGAAGTTTGGAAGCCATGGATAGCTTCTTTCTTAAGAGACCCTTTAAAAATGAGCCATAATAATAGTAGCTATCATTCATTGTGTGGTATGCAACGTTCAAAGTTCTTTTCCTACTTTTAGTCCTTATGGCAGCCCTCTGAAATTGATGATACCCTTAACGTTTTACAAATGAAGAAACTAAGGTACATAAAAGTTCAATGACTTGCCCAACGTCTCAGTGGCAGTAAGTGATAAAGTAAGGTTTCAAAGTCTGGTGGTAGTTGGACTCTAGAGCCCATGCTCTTAATTGTCACACAAACTGTGAAGAAGGGAAGGTACTACAAATGTTGTAAAAGACAGCCCATATATACTACACAAAACCATTGTTCCATATCTTACTTTGGTGATTAGCGACTGGGATCTTCAAAGCTGCAAGCCGCAGTTTAGATGCAGCAATGGGTCTTTCCTCATTTGGGGCTAAGAAGAATGAAGACAACCAAAGATGCATGGAAACAATTAGTCCAAGCCACTGGTACACCATGCAGTCCTCAGACTATATTACTGTTTGCCCAGAAGAACTTGATAGGGCCTGGGTACCACTGTCAACAACACAAAGGGGGATCTATGTAGGAGATCTTGGATGGAGTGGGAAAACAATGTGGAACAAAACTCAAAATCATAAAAACATAAAATAAAAGGGACTGGGTTTGCTGGTCTGATAGAGCCTGGTGGAATCCCTGAGACTCTGGCCCCTAGTTGCCCTCCAGGTCTGGAATTGAACCTACTCCCTGTGACTTCTACCCAAACAAAAGAAAGGCATATGAGCTAAACATTTGCATTAGGTAGATGCACTCTTTGGAGAGCTCATTCATGGAAGAATAGAAGGGCTGCATATGCACAAGGAGACAGCTTGGGGGACAGGAGTGCATGGGAGGGAAGGACACAAGGAAGAGGTAACAATTGGGAGGAAGTGGGAGGGGATCTGTTGCATTGTGGGAAATTGCAATCAATGTCATGAGACAAAGTATATGTGAGCTGCTCTTTGGAAAGTGAATTTGCTCTGTAAACTTTCACCCAGATCGCAATAAAAATTAAAAAAAAAAAAAAAGACAGCCCATATAAAAGCATATGCTGAATCCAATATGATGACTTTGATAATTATAAGTATTTGGTATAGTTTTGGGAGAACGCTGGACTGTTTTCTTGAAAAGGTAGGTGGAAGCTCAAGTTGTTCAGGGCCTTCTTTGTATACTAAGCTAATCATGGAATGAATGTTTTTAAATATGTGCTTGACATGATCATATCTGAACAGGGCCTTCCGTGTATACTAAGCTAATCATGGAATGAATGTTTTTAAATATGTGCATGACACGATCATATCTGAATTTAGAAGTGTCAGTCTGGTTTAGAGTATAAAGATGATAAGAATGCGAGAGCTGGCAGCTCGGAAGATCACTGAGTTAACTTTTACAGCAGTCCTGTACAGAGATGAGAAGACTAACAAGATGACAGCAGTGTAATAGGAAAGTTTCCTTTTGGTGGAGAGGATGATGTGTAGTGGATAGACATTTAAAGAGAGACACTCAGCAGGACCTGATAAGTAATTGGATAAGAGGAAGAGGGATTTTTAGGGTAATTTAGAATACTGCATGCATTATAACTTCTGCTAGATGATGGCAGGCAAATGGACAGAAAGGCATGGAGCAGAGAGATGTTCTTTCAAGAATTAATAGAGCATGGGAGAAAGCCATTGGGAGGAAAGAGGAAAGAATTTGCAGTTCTTAGGATTTTTAACCCAGGTGGAGAATAATGAATTAACATTTTATAAATGGAAAAGATTGAAACTATTAAGGTTTTTTCTGACTATTCAGATATTGCTGTCTTTTAAGCACTTAAAAGTGTAGTGCTTGAACGTCTGTGAGACCAGAACTAGATGATGTCTGGCTACCACTGTCAATCACTCATAAGGGGATCAGTCTATGAGATCCTAGATAGCATGGGAAAAAAATATGGAACAAAACTCAAAATCATAAAAAAGTCCAGGCTTACTGGTCTAATAGAGACTGGGTAAACCCCCAAGACTGTGGACCCTAGTCACCCTTTGGGCCTTGAATTGAAATAACTCCTGTGGCTTCCAGCCAAACAATAGACAGGTGTATAAGGTGAGCATTTACACCAGGTAGGTACACTCCTTAGAACAGTCAACCATGGGAGGTCAGAAGGGCAGTACTTGCAAAGGGAGCGAGCTCAAAGGGCAAGAATGCAAAGGAAAGGACACAGGGAAAGGGTCACCATAGGGAGGAAGTGGGAAGTGAAATAAATGTTTGTGAACTGTTGTGTGGGAAATGAATTTTCTCTGTAAACTTTCATCCAAATCACAATTTTTAAAAAAATTTTTTTAAAAAAGGTATAGTGCTTAAATTTGCATGGAGAGAAAGGCAGGGAGATGGAATGCATAGACAAGAAAGACGCAGAAAGAGTAACCACAGGGAGGAAGTGGGAGGAGAGCTGTTATGTTGTAGGGAATGTAACCAGTGTCACAAAACAAAATGGGTATGGACAACTGATTGTAAAAATGAATCTGTTTGAAAAATCCCCAAAAAACATAGTAAAAAGTGTTTTTTTTTAAAGCAGAGTAATATATTAATAGTTTCTCATGTCATAATAAAATTTCATGATCTCTTTGACAAAATAATGAATTTCCACAGGAATTGGAAGTGTAGGTATTGTTATCTCTAAAAACAGATGTAAAGTTCACAAATGACAATAAAGAAAATAACAAGCAGTTTGGAAAAAAAAAGTGCTTGAATGCCAGTTAGATAAGATCTGTGTATCATTAGAACTAATAGTTGATACTTAGAGAATGAGTTTTAGAAGAACAGTATGGCAGGCATTCTAGAGATAGGTCAAGACCGAGAGGACTAGGGAGCACGTGACTCAAGCCTTTGAATTTCTTTTAGAGGAGTGAGAGTGTTACAAGGACACCTAGAAAAGAGAATCTTTCTGGAATCCAGGACTTTAATCTTTACAAAAGGAACCCTGGTAACACAATGTTAAATGTTTAACTACTAACCAAAAAACTGACATTTCAAACCCACCCAACAACAACAGTTTTTACAAAAGCCGCTCAACAGGTCTTTCTTCCACAGAGCCATTCAGTGGGTTAGCAGCTGAAAGCAAACCTATTACACTGCTAGGTTTCTTCTAGTTTTTAGGAGATTGTGTATGTGGGCTTTTTCATGTCATTTAGCTGGCTGTTTTCTCTGAAGCTGGTCCTCTGTATTATGCCATTTAGCAATTGATTATGTTTTGTCTTAATGCTTTATCCTGAATATCCTGGGAATTTCTATATATATCTTAGTTTTCCATGTAGCGTTTATTGATTTTTGTCTATAACAAAAATTTTTGCCAACTTAAAATGAGAGGAGACTAATAAACGTCTCTACTCAGATGTTTATAAGTGACTTGTCCTATGTGTTTTCTTAGCTCTTCAGGAAGCTGCAGCAAGGTTTGAGGAGTTAAAGGCCCAAAAAGAGCTAAGACAACTGCAGGAAGACCGTAAGAATGACAAGAAGCCACCACCTTATAAACATATAAAGGTGAGAAAAGGCCTCAGGAGATTTATCTCCAGGGGAGACGCTTTACACCCTTTCCTTTTCCCACTTTACTCATCAGGAAATAGGGATGTACAAACACAGATCCTTGTAAGCAGAGATAAGAATTTAAAAGAAACAGTCGGAAAAAAGTACCAGACCACCATTCAAAGCACGTTGCATGCACTCTAAAAATCAGTTGTGCTTTGATGCAGCCTTTTTCCCTGTGATGGAAAGTCTTCTTATAAAATTATATTCTGTTCATTTCCAAGAGCCATGAAGAAAAATGATAAATGACCTTGAGTTAGTGTGAATATATAGTCATCTTGGTAATGACTAATATTGACTGTATATTAGGTGATTATAGCTAGGGTTCCCAAGGACATTAGAATTAATGTGAGCAGTGCAAGTTTTATTTCCCCTCTTTCTGGTGAAATAGTCATTTCACTTAATTTTTCAGTCATTTTCATAAATGATTTACAGAAGTAAAAATAAAGGGATAGTGAAAAGCAACTTTATTAGGAATTTTAATAAATATTTATTAAAACTTTATTTTGCAACTGGACCATTAAGCAAAACCATGATAAATGGAATAGAGTTTGAAGTTGTCAAGAATTACCTTTTACCCCTATTTACCCTTCAGTTCTGGAACTGAACTCACTCCTGTGGCTTCTAGTAAAACAGTAGATAAGCATGTGGGGTGAACATTGACTTGGAGTGATCAGTCATGGAGAATAGAAGGGCAGTGTTTATATAGGGAGATAGCTGGGGAGCTGGGGGGAATACATGGGAGGAAAGGGCACAGGGAAGAGGTAAGAAGAAAGCTGTTACATTGTGGGGAGTTGCAGTCAATGTCATGAGACAAAATGTGTGTGAATTGCTCTGTGGAAAATGAATTTGCTCTATAAATTTTCACCTAAATCTCAATTAAAAAAAAAAAAAAAAGAGGAGGGGGAGAATTGCCATTTAATTGGATCCACAGTCAATTCCCCTGGAAGCAGCAGTCAAGAAATAAGGATGTTATTGGGCAGATCTGTTATAAAAGATCTCTTTTAAAGTGTTAAAGAGCAAAGATGTCACTTTGGAGACCAAGGTGCACCTGACTCAAACCATGGTCTTTTCAGTAGCCCCCATATGCATGTGAAAGGTGGACGATGAATAAGGAAGACCAAAGAAGAATTGATGCATTTCAGTTGTGGTGTTACTGAAGAATATCGAATGTACTGAAGAATAATAACTAAATATACCATAGACTATAAGAAAAACAAACAAATCTGTCTTGGAGGAAGTACAGCCATAATGTTCTTTAGAAGTGAGAATAGCCAGACGTCATCTCACCTACTTTGGTTATGTTGTCAGAGGGGACACTCCCTGGAGAAGAATATCATGCTTGGTAAAGTAGAGGGTCAGCATAAAGGGGAAGACCCTCAACAAGATTGACAGACACAGTGACTACAATGATGGACTCAAGCATAGCAAAGATTGTGAGGATGGTGCAGGAGTGTGCAGCATTTCGTTCTGTTATGCAAGAGGTCAGTATGAGTGGAAACCTACTCAACGGCACCTAATAACAACAACTTTTTTATAAACCTCTTCTTACCAAATTTTGATGATCAAACATCATGAAACATGAAAGAATGTTTATTAGCAAAGTGAGATGACCCAAGTTCTTGTTGCAAAATATTTGATGACATTCTTCCTGGATGAGAATACCATATTTTTCCTTTGTCCTTAGAAATACATTGCTTATTCTCTCATTGATTTTTGTGTTCCAGAAAACTTAGCTAAGATATGGTCATCTGAAATCTTACCTCAGATTTCACTTAGTTAATTTCACCACCATTTATATGTCCCAAATATTGTTTGGTAGATATTTAATCTAAACTATTTGTTTATGTGAAATTCAAATAAAACTCTCTCTCTTGGATTTTCATTTGCTAAGTGTGATAGCTGATAAAAGTAAACTACAAAGATATCTACATCTTTTATAACTTCTTGAAAGATGATATAGTACTTTGGGCAGTCCAGTAAGAAAACTAAAGTGCAACTACTTACCTCATCTTAAGATTGTTTAACAGAGTTTTCAGTAATCAGTGAAATAGTAAAATGTTACAAGATACAGGGAAAGTAAGAACACTGAAATCCCACCATTTATCTTAGGCTTATAAAAGGGTCTAATGGACCTATATGGTACAGACAAGGTAGAATGAGATTTATTTTATTTATTAACTTTTCTTCTTGCCATTTGGAAGACCTCTAAGATAGAATAAAAGTCATGAAATACCAATCTTTATAGATAATTAAAATTGTTGAAAAAGAAGAGAATCGCAAAGCATCAAATTGAGTCTGATAGATGGGTGTTAAATATAGTTAATATGTTTTTAGACATAACAATGAAGGGTAGTTACTCATCAAAAAAAGAAAAGTATTCCTTTCACACAGTACTAGGTGTCAGAATAGCACATCAACCATCTTGATCCTGACTATTGAGAGAGCAATTTCCTGAGAGTGATCTTATCACAGAATGTGAAGCCTAATTTCCCTCCTCCATCTTTTTAAATTTTTTTAAACAAATACAATTTCAGAAAAAGGATTAAAGCAGAGATCAGTAAACTGTAGTCCATGGACTAAGTCTGTATTGCCTCTTTATGCCAGTCCGTGAGCTATGGATGGTTTTACATTTTTAAATGGTTGTTGTTGTTGTTGTTGTTAGGTGTCATGGAGTTGTCTCCTATTCAGCGACCCTGTGTACAACAGAATTAAACACTTCTGGTCCTGTGCCAGCCTCACAATCCTTGCTATACCTGAGCTCATCGTTGCACCCACTGAATCAATCCATCTCGTTGAGGGCCTTCCCTTTTTTCATTGACCTTCTACTTTACCAAGCATGATATCCTTCTCCGGAGAATTTTCCCTTCTGACAACATTACCAAAGAAGGTCAGACAAAAGTCTGGCATACTCACTTCCAGGGAGCATTCTGGCTGCACTTCTTCCAGGATAGATTTATTAGTTTTTTTAGTAGTCCATGGTACTTTCAGTATTCTTTGCCAGCTTCTCAACTCAACAGCATCAACTCTTCTTCAGTCTTCCTTATTCATCATGCATTTCTCACATGCATATAAGGCGATTGAAAATACCATGGCTTGGGTTAGGCACACGTTAGTCTTCAAAGAAACATCTTTGCTCTTCATCTTCAGCACTTCAAAGAGGTCTTTTGCAGCAGATTTTCTCAGTAAAATATGTCGTCTCACGTCTTGACTGCTGCTTCCATTGGTGGTATTAAGTCATTGTGGGAGAAAAAATATTTGGTGACCAAAAAAATTACATGAAATTATAACTTCAGTGTCCATAACATTTTTTGGGATTCTCTTTCATTTACATATTATCTCTGGCTGCTTTCATGCTACAGTGGCAGAGTTGTAAATCCACAACAGAGAGACAATATGGCCTGCAAACCCAAAATATTTACTATGTGGCTCTTCACAGAAGGCATTTTTTGACCCCTGACGTAGAGTAGAGTTGTCTGCAATGACATTTCTGTATCATTATTCTCACGTAAGCATGTGCTTTTGATTCATAGTGAGAAACTTAATTGCAGTTAATCACAGGTTAGGACAAATGGCAAGAAAGAATGATTAAAACATACATTTAGAGAGGGAGAGGAAGTAGGATAAAACTTTTTGTGGGAATGAGAGAGACTAAAGATACTTAAAAAAAACTTAACCTTGGATAGGATGTAAATATTAAAATACCCTATTTAGGACCTGTTGTCTTGGGTAATTGAGCTCAGTTTTCTTTTACCCCTATAGAAAGATGCCTTACCCAGTAAGTTTGTGGCTCCCCGTTGCATGTTGTGAGAGAATTCCTCTGTGAACAGGAAGTTGACACTTGTTTTTCTTTTTAATATTTTTGCAGTGTTCTCTCCCCTCCCCTCTCAAGAAGTTGACAGTTTTTACCACTATTTTAAAGATCAGAAAGAAATAAGCAAGTGAAACTTCGACCCTTTTAAGTTGTTATAAAGAAATTACTAGACAATATAATTCCACAAACAGGTGTAGATTTTATAATACTAGTAAAGACTAGGAAGTAAAGAAATAGTAGAAATGAAAACATTTGAGAATGTAGAGTGTACAAATAAATTTTTTACTAATCATAATGATTTTAGATTGAGTGAAATTAGAAATCTAGAATAGTAATGTGGCAAAACCAATTAAGAGACATTAAAGGAAAAGAAGAAAAATCTAACCATGTTTAAGAGGCTGCCATATGGTAGGCTCTGCGTTAGACCATTATGTTGGGCTGTGTATTTGAATACTTGGAGTTTACCTATTCCCACTTGAATAATATCAAGTAGAAGGGCATTCTCATAGATTATGGAATATCCTTTTTTATTTTTCATTTTTTGTTTAAGGTTTAAAGATTATCTCACGGCAGTAGTTTTAGGGGGTTTATCACCTACCATGACTCTGGAAAGTCTAGAGTCCATGAGAAATTACAGTTCTGTTCTGTATTTTCCCCTTTTATTTGTCTGTGGAATCTTTGATTGAAATGTTCAGTAATGGTAGCCAGACACCCAGAGGAGTATCTTTAGTGTGGCACAGACCCTGGGCACTACTTGAAGCAGAAGGGTGCCAATAAGCAGTTTCTTTTGACCGTGGCTTTTTTTTCACCCCCCCAGCTGTGAGATAGCATTCATCAATTTAAAACTAATTGCCATAGGTGCTGTTTTCCATAGGCATGCCACTGTAGGACATCTAGTTCTTTTGGTGTCCTGCCAAAGGAGACAGTTGGTATGGGGGCAATTAGCCACATACTCCATATCCTTCTCCTGTTCCTGACTTTCCATCTTCCCTTTTTCTCCAGGTAAATAGAGACCCATTTTTGTACCTTGGATGGTTCCTTATAAGTTTTTAGGACCCTAGACATTTCACCACAAACTAGGAGGTAGAATAGAAATAGCAAACACATTATTAGGGTAGTTAATTGGGGTGTCCCACAAAACCAT